TGGTTCTGTGGCTCATTCGGGTCCAGACTAACAGGATTACCAGTTCAATAACTTAAACCTTTTAATCAACAATGAGCTGTTTGTTTCTATTAATTGATGATTAAATCAGATCTTCAACCCAAATATCAAATAAGACGTTCTGCAGTTGGAACCAGAACCAGAACCAGAACCTGGGAGCTGCTGTTCTGTGTTCAGGGTTTGAACACGTGAACTCTCGACACGTTGCTGCTGCAGCAGGTGCAGACACATAACGCCAGTTTACAGTAGTTATAGTTTATCAGTTTACAGCACACAGAAAACATTTTAACTGCAGTTGATGACCAACTGAACTCACTGTTAAAATATAAATGAATCGCTGGATAATTGGTAATTCATTATTGGTTTTAAGGGTGAAAATGATCAAATAGCATGAAATGAATGTTTGTTCTGGGAAAGATGAACTGGTGTTTAGTTTTAGTTTAGGAGCCACGAATGAACAATAGAATTAATTTGAGAATAAGTTTCATTTTTCAGTATTTTGAATATTCGCAGTGTGGGAGAGAGTATTATTGTGATTAATAAAGTTCATGGACATTACTTTAGGTGAAGTGTTCCTTTAATAAAAGTATGAAATGCGGCTTTCAGTTGTCCTGAAGATGCAACGTTTAGTTTAGTCTCACTGTTATGAAAACGGAATCGCGGGTGAAGAAATATTCAAAACACGAGTTGTTTTTTGCTGCTTTTTAAAACCCACTGCCGACAGAAGTTAACAGAGCAGAGACAGAAAGAAGCTGTGTGTGGAAACTATGAAAGTCTCTGAATAAACACTGAAATAATGAGAATTAAAATGGTGAAACAAGAAATACTAGAAATAGGGTACTTTATAGACTTTATGGAGGATTATGGGGTTGTCAGCTGAAGCAACGTAATGAGTCTGAGTGCAGCTGAAGGAAGCAGCTTGCTGTGAGACATCTCTATGTAGATGTTCTCAAACAGGAAATAAAAGCAGAACAAAATGCAAACTACCTAACAGCCGCAGACGAGCACGTCAATATTATCATCAGTGATTCCCCAGACTGGAAACAAACTCCTGAATATGGATGAGAACCGCGTCCAAACTGTCTGATCCATCAGAGTCATGTCACACCGAGTTCGTTGTTTACTTCTATCAATGCTGACATGTCTCATGTTTTCTGACAGTTCAAACACGTCCTGGAAAACCTGGAAATTTAGAGACTAGTTTTCCAGTCCTGGAAAACCTGGAAATTGATTAAAATGAGCAAATATCCTGGAAATATTCTGTGTTGTCCTGAAACATTTTAATTGTATTTTAGCCCCTCATTCAGATTACACAATCTTCATATGTTACATATTATATATATTTTAAATAAATACACTTAAACCCTGTTATTGATTATCAAATGTAACTTTGTTGTTGTGGTGGATAATTGTTAATTAATAATAATTGATGATATAAACACAACATTATTCTGTGTTTTCAGGAGCTAACCGATCTGTCCAGAGATCCTCCTGCTCAGTGCTCTGCCGGACCCGTCGGAGAAGACAGTGAGATGATTTCTTTTACAAATATAAACTCATACAGACTCTGTGTACAGCTGACACACCGTTAATGTGCGTTAATAACCTGCTTCTTTTCCTTCTTCCAGTGTTTCATTGGCAAGCTACTATAATGGGACCTGTAAGTACCAAACTCCTTTCTTTTATTGTGGAGTTCAACAGGAAGTTCTGTGTTTACAGTTTTATTAAGCTCAACACAGCATTTTAAAATATAACATCAGTACTGTACATCTACCTGCTCCCACCTCACCCAAACACAGAAGAGAGAGGCTGATACATCAATCAAATCAATATTCTATTAAATTCAACCAGTATTTACTTCTCTGGAATTCACTGATGCAGAGAAAGAGAGATAGTAGAGTAGAGATGAGTAAAATGCTCATTTGAAGTCTACTAAAATCTATTTTCTTGGCTCTAATGAATAGCATATATTTTGTTTTAACAACATTTCACATAAGTTTGAGATCAATGATGCAGAGTCAGCCCAACAATATAAAATGTTATCATCTGCATACAAATGGACATTACAGGTATTTAAAGCTAGGACAATATTATTGTTATAAACTGTGAAAAGGACCTTAAATCAAACCTTCAGGGACATTTTTTGTAGAGTTTGCTCTGTTGTTTATTTCATTACGTCACAAATCACTCTTCCAGAGTTGATATGAGAACAATATTTGCTCTGAGCTCTGTAGCGTTTCTATCATTACCACAGTTGTGTGTGTGTGTGTGAACTGTTGTTAGCACTGTGTGAATATCTGAATGTGTAACCTGTGTTTTCTCTCTGTGTGTTCCTGCTGCAGCCGGACAGTCCCTATCAGGGTGGCGTGTTTTTCCTGACTATTCATTTCCCCACAGATTATCCCTTCAAACCACCCAAGGTCAGTGAGCAGCTCCACACACTGAGCTTTATTTATCATAAAAAGATCTGTGAGGCTGATTGTGTTTCCTTCTTCCATCAGGTCGCCTTCACAACAAGAATTTATCACCCAAATATTAACAGTAACGGCAGTATCTGTCTGGATATATTGAGATCACAGTGGTCTCCAGCATTAACTATCTCTAAAGGTAAGAAACTGTTCACAGAAATAGGTCTGGAGGGGGGAGTGGATTTAACTATCGGTGAGTAAACTGACTGTATGTTCTGTATATTTCATATTCTATTGATCAGAATCAATAACAGCAGAGAACAGCTGATAAACTGATCAATGAACCCAAACAGTGAACTCAATAACTAAGTTTACTTTTACGCCTTATACTCAAGAAGGCCTTACAACCCCACACGAAGCTTTCCTGACCCCTGCTGGGGTCCCCAACCCACAGGTTGGGAAGCACTGATTTAGACTTCACAAAACATAAATAGATTTTTTTTTAAGCAGCTGTAGATCTGAAAACAAAGTGTGTGTTTGTGCTTCAGAGGTCAACTTATTTTTAGGCCCGTTGGACCCTTTAATGTCAGCTTATAACCAGTAGATGGTGCTGTGAGCTGAACTCTCCACGAGTTAATACCACGAGTCAGCAGAGACAGCAGGACGCAGCCTTTAACAGGCTGTCTTTAGGACGTAGACACGTGGCTAAAATAAAAGAATGAGCCTTCAGATATATCTGCTACAGTACAGTATAGTACGCTGATGAATAAACATGTTGTCCATGTCTTCCTCTCCACAGTCCTTTTGTCCATTTGTTCTCTGTTATGTGACCCGAACCCTGACGACCCGTTAGTGCCAGAGATCGCCCGCATCTACAAAACAGACCCTGTTAGGTGAGTTTCTACCTGTACCATCAGAAACTGTCCCCATCTACAGTCCGTTAGGATCGGGACCACTCAGATCAACACGGCCTTCATTCCTGTTTGCAAAGACCAGATGAGTTGTTTTTAACCGGCGGTCCGACAGTAGCAGCCAACACGCTGGGACACACGGACAGAAATAAATGAATGTTTTCTTTATTTACAAAAAGGAACGAACAATGAAGGATTTGTCTTAGACTGCGTTTCATAATGTTTATAGTTTCTTCTTAAAGATTCCACTAAAGAAAATGAAGAATGTATGTCCTCTATTATACTTGTGTGTATGCTGATTATACCTTCAGGTACATATCCACAGCCTTTCATACACACTCAGTGTTCATTAAAAATGTCCAGAAGAAACAACTGGAGAGGGAGGGAAAGAAAAAGCCTCAAAAACACTCCTGATTCAACCTTTATACCTGCACCCTCACACAGCTTTACTTCTGCTGGAGTTCAACATTTCACACTATCGCTGAACCAAACTCTGGTTTACACTTTCTGTCATACAAACTGTGACCTAACTGGAGAGATAATTATATATTTATATATTATTCCATCCAGTTTCCCAGATTCTATTAAATTTGTCCAATTCCAGTCCGGAAGTGAGTCGGCTTCGTGTAAATACTGCGAGCTACTTTCAGCCTCAACCTCAGCTTCTTCTTCTTTTTTCTGTTGACATTATCATACATTATATAACAGGTAAAGAGCGGGAACCCTGCTGTAATGTGGCGTAGACGAGCTCTGATTGAGTTCAATAAACGAAGTGCTGACGAGCTGAACGTGTGAAACATTTAGTATTTAAGAGTTTAACCAGTGTCTGGTTGGTCTCAGGTATAGCAGACTAGCCAGGGAGTGGACAGAGAAGTATGCCATGCTGTGAGGGTAAGAGCTGAGCTGTCCTCTGATTGGACGCCTGAGCTTCCTGCCTGCTGAGTCTGTCTCACTGTGTGACGCCGTCTGGCAGGAAGTCGTTCAAACTGGACTGAAAGCACGTTGATGCAAAGCATGGCTCCAGATCCACAGACGGCCTGAGCTGCTTTCATGTTTCAGCTGCTGGACTATAATTCAGACCTGAACCCAGACCTGAACCCAGACCTGAACCCAGACCTGAACCCAGACCTGAACCCAGACCTGAACCTGATGGAGGTCGTTACAGAAACTGAAAATGAGCTGAAATATGAAACCTCAGATGCTGTTTTTACCTGCATGCACAAGATCTAAACATCGGGTTCAACCAGCTACTCTGGTCTGGTGGAAGTAAATCTCTAAAAGTACTCAGTTACTTTCCCCCGCTGTCCTTCAGGCCCTTAATGTGATATTCTCTCACTCTGCTGAGTCTTCGTTCTCATTGGCTGACAGTTTATCAACTGCTGTTAAGTTGTTTATTAGTTTAAACTTTATTGATACAGGACGAGTTAACAAAGCTGTGTGTGTGTGTACGTGTTACTGTCACATACTGGGGACCTTTTCTTCTACACTACCTTGTTGGGACCAGTAGTCCTCATATGGACCAAAGACTGAACTTACATCAGCTAATCTATGTCGGTCATGATGTTAGCAAAAAGCTAGCTAACTCGTTAGCTTATTTACATCAATTAGCTCAACTTTATAACTGGATTCAGTCATTGTGGTGAAACTGGATCAGATTTTCTGAGTCAGGGATTCCAGGAGCCAAACCGGTCAATTAAACCACCTCGGTACTGGATTCCCTGTCAGACTTAGAGATTGTGTTTGGTCCCGGGTCCGGCTGTGTTCACTGGGAGATGGCTGCTCTAAACTCCAATCAATAGCCTCTTTACCACCTGTTTTTACAGGTAACTATAAGGAACCAAACTGTTTCAGAGACTTTAATGCAGTAAAACGTCCCTGAACGGAGGTCGGGGTTAAACTTAGTGTAACAGGGTCTGTGTGAGGTTGTCCACAGTGAATGAACGTCCTAACCAACATCTGTGTGTGTGTGTGTGTGTGTGTCTGTGTCTGTGTCTGTTGTGTGTGTGTGTGTGTGTGTGTGTGTGTGTGCGCACGGCATCGTCCCTGCTGTCCGTCAACCAGCTGTCGGACTCACCTGTGTGTTTCTGTCTGCAGGTACAACAAGACAGCTCAGGACTGGACTCAGAAATACGCCATGTGACCCTCTTCCTCCCCCTGCTGGAACAAACTGTTTGATTTCCCACCAATCAATCAGCCAATAACAGCAATTTGTTCACGTTCCTTTGGGCCCGCCCCCTCCATCTGAACCGCTTTTAAACTTTTGATTTCTCTGCTTTGTGAAATAATGAGTGAACGGAGGGAAGATGGGCCGAGAGCTGTGAATGTGCCAACTGAGAAACTGTTACAATAAATAATCAATAATTTAATGCATGTCAGTGATTGATTGGTTCATGTGCTGCTCAGATTTGTCCACTTTTTAAAAAAAAAAAGGAGCCGACAGATTTTTATTGAGTTCTTGTTGTTTTTTTGTTTTGTTTTAGACGAGAGCCGTTAGTTCATCCATCATCCAACACTGTTCTCCTCTTTTTGCACTGAAGATGAAACTCAAAGCTCTCAACGGCTGATTGATCAACTAATAGCTCTGTGATGTTTTTTTTTCTCAATAAAGTTGAACAAATTGCAGTTTGATTGTCGCCTTTTTATTTTCTGCTCTAATATTTGTATTTAGATAAATTTTTCCTGTATATTTAATATTATATTCAACGATAATATAACCTTTATTTTTACAGCATTCATATAATTTCTCTTGTAAAAACTTAGTAAAATAAAAAGTAAAATATGGAATAAAACTCAACTTAAAATCAACATTACTAATATTTTTTACCGTAATAGAAAAAGTTCCACCGTTAAAAAAAGACTGCCATCTACAGCTGCCTGAATTTTACCATAAAAATAACAGCGCATGTTTGTATGAAAGGTGTTCAAATGAAGTTAATTGATTGCTGATTGGTTCGGATCGGCTCCACCTGTCTGACGTCATCAGTCTCATCAGCTGCAGGTGGAGACAGTTTGTCTTCAGAGGACGAGATCCAACAGAAGAAGTTGAGCAGGTAAAGTTTGAACTCTTTCAATATAAAATGTTGTTTGTTGTTGTTTGTTGTTTACAGTTTGTCCCTCTCGCACACACTTTTGTTGTTAAATTCAGTGAAGCTACTGTTTGTTTCTCTCATATATTCACATTTTATTTACTTTGTCAATATAAATTCACAGTTAAAGTAACTTTAATAAATTTACTCAAATTTAAGTTAAATTTTTAGGTACTTTGGAGTATTTTTATTTCTACTTTACTACGTCTATATTTGTTATTTGAGCCGTGTGTTGGCAACAATCTGGTGATACGATCACGATACAGTTCTGATTCAATATGCTCCAATACTGTAAGTGAGGAGGTTGCTTTTCTTTTTTAATCTAATTTTAGTAAAACTCAGTATAAAAAACAAAGAGGCATAAAATCTGATTAAATGAAAGTTTACAATACTGCTATCTAATGTTTAGAGCTCAAACACTAAAATCTTTAGTGTTTTTGAGAATCGAAAACTAAATATTCTTTAGGGAATTTATTTAGATTTGATTGCAGATCATTTATGTTGTAATAATATTGGTTAAAAGTAAAGTGTAGCAGGAAGTGACATCTTCATATCACCGGACTCAGTTCGTGGTTTACATAATTAAAAACATTTAAAAAAGAGAAAAACAGCAAAACATGAAATTACAGGATGACGAAGAATATTTTCATCCTGGATTTTAAGGTGGACTATTTGTCTTCAATACATTTTTAAGTTTTGTAATAAATTTGAAAACCTTACCTCTAATCTTTTGTTGAAATAATTTTTCTTTAGAAAAACTAAAATCTTTGAATTTTAATAACGTAGCAACTGAAAGTATTAAATTATATTTATTTTTAATGAATATCCCTGTAATTTTAAATGTCCACCTTAAACTTTCAACTTCAAATACCATAATGTAGAAATACTGAAGCATCGCCAGCTTCAGTTCTACTACTATATATACTACTGATTACTATACTATTAATTATATTATAATAATCGTCATTTATAAAAGAAAAGACAGTTTACCAGTCGATAAATATAAAAAACTTTATTTAAAAAATAACAGTGAAGCTCGTGTTGAACTGTACAGTGCAGAGCAAAGATATAAATATCGCTTTGGTTTCACTAAAGACTACAACTCCTCACAGCTCTGGACTTCCTATCCCACAATGCCTTGCATCATGTTGTTAACAGTTTCCTGCCGCTGCCAAAACGCATCCGTCTTTGTGTAAGTGGAGGAAGAGAAACAGATCAGGATCATCTGGCTGCTGCAGGTTTATGAGTCTTCAACAGGTTTCAGTGGTGAGACGACAGAAAATAACAGAAAATGGCACAAAAAAACACTAAACATTAAAAAAATCAATCTTTAAAAACATGCACTCTTAAAGGACAGATGTTTAATATTCACACATGTGGAGAGTTGTTGGTGTTCGTACTCATGTTTCATATAAACTTTTTTTAAGCCACTTTATTAGGGGAACAATATAACAGCGCTGATATAAATTCAACCTTTAAGTTCACAAAGTTCAGTTTCTGTTGACGTTAGAAGTTAATTCATGGTTTGCTGCAGAGGTCAGTTAAAGGTTCTGCACTACATTATACTGGGTAGAAAATTATTCCCTAGATTATTGCGATATTATCTGTGATACAGTATTGATTTTTAATAGTTTACATGCAGAGATTCGTGGCAGTGGTCCATTTTGTGATCTTGTGTTTAAACCCCCGACCACAAGATGGCAGTGTTGTAACACTCAGGTTGTGTTAAAGTACGTTGGATGTTACGAGGCAGTGATCAATAAAACTGCAGGTCTCACTGTATATTTTTTTTATACAAGAGATTAAAAATATATTGACCCTTCTTATGCCCCGCCCCTTTTTGCTCTGTACTCCAGTAACAGTTGAGCTGAGAGATGCTACATGCTACAGGCTAATCTATGTTGAAAAGACAACCACATTTTGAAGATGGTACATTAGCTCAAATATAGATTAGCCTAGCATAGTAAGTAGCAGGAAAGGAGGAAGTTGGCCGAGGCTTGTTCAACTGTGATTGGAGCTCAGAACAAACAGGGTCAGTTGAATGTAACCCCTGTATTGTATCTCCAGGTTCTCAGTTTTACTGCGGTTTCCTTCCTGATTGGTTCCAGGACATCCTCGGCTGAACAGGTACGAACACCAACAACTCTTTCCATGAGTGTTGTATTGAGACTGTTTACAATCATTTCTTTATCAATAGCACCTTTCCCCTGCAGACGCCGACGTCTGCTACAGAAAAAAAAAAACACTGCTGAACGCTTCATCGAAATTCTAAAATCCACCAGACTCCTACGTCTTCGTTCAGCAGCCGACAGAACATAATTCCAAGTGAGGGTTCGATTCGTTTTCTACCACCTGACAGCGTCCAGGGAGGAGGCGGTACGGCGTGTTCACACAGAGAGCGAAGCCAAGTTTTCATAAGACGGATGAATCTCCTAAATTTATGCAAGAAAATATTGAGCTTCGAAGTGAATCCGGGCGGACGTTGGGGGCAGTGTTGCGACCCAGAGACATTTACCAGCAACAGGAGTTCATTTGTTGAACTTTTGGGGTTTAAAAAGTGGATTTATCTTCACTCTGATGCTTCATATTTAAACAGAGAACGACAAGTGAGAGGAAGTTGGAAAATATGTTACTTAACAGCTCTGATCAACCAAACTCCATTCAAAAAACAAGCATTTTAAAAGCTGTTTGCTCGTCGTCTCGCAGACAGACAACGTATGAATTCAGATTTTTCTCCATCAGGACGTCGTTATTTCAGCATGGTTTTACTGGACCACAGTGAACCAGATTAAAGGCGAGGTGAGAACTTGCCGCTGTGTCAACACGCCATACGATTTCATTTTGGGGTGAATTATTGAGATTTTTTGATCGAGGAACAAACATCAGATTGTTTGGTCGAGCTGTTGGAGTGTAGTGTGGGCAGAAAAACATCAAACCAAATACTCATTTTTTCTAGAAAACAAGAATCACTTTTTAGTTCATGTCAGTGAAGCCGAGTTCAGACCAGATCAGACGCTGCGGCGCCGTTTGTGCTGAACGCAACCGCTGTGAAACAATCTGACTCTCGCTACCGGCGCTCACTATGGAAGCTCGTTGCTGCCAATGTGATGGGGAAAAAAATTAGATTCTGATTATAATGAGAAACTTTCAAAATAAAAACTTAGTTTCTCAGTATAATTTGTTTTATAGTTTATTTTTACTGATGGAGGTATTTTATTCTTTTTTATTAAAAGTCACTTCAATATTTTCCAATGGTTCGGCCTGTAAGGCAATTTGTTGAGGAAAGTTTCTGTATGTAAAATCATGAAAATTACAAAAACTTTTTCAAACTCTTCCGATCTTGCTCTCTGCTGCTCTGATAGACCTGAGTGGGGTTGTTGGACCCCGTTAATATCTGCTTGCAGGTCTAGTTATTATTATTATTATTATTATTATTATTCTGTAGAGAAAGAGGCTAACAGTCTCTGACCAACAGAACCAATGCGCACTCTGTGCCGTGTTGCAGCAGGGGGCAGCGGCTGTTTCAGGCTGATTGTCGATCAGTTTGACGTCCGCTTTTTTCCAAAACTGGATTCAGTTTCAGCCCCCGGCTGCAGACTTAACTGACTACTACCAATCAATCAATCAATCAATCAATCAGTCAGTGAGGGGATGTTGTTCTGGCCGTAGCGTCTGATTTGGTCTGACCTGCTGTGACTTTCAGTTTACACACAAACAAACAAACAGCTTAAAAATTCATTAAAAACAGTTAAAATGTTTTGTGATGGAGGTTTCCTCAGCGCGGGCAGATCGATAGATAGATCGATCGATCGATGGAGGAGGGTGATGATGATGAATTGTGCTTTCTCTGATGAACCCAGACGGACCAATCAGGCGGTTACGCTGTGGAGAGCTCCACCCCGCTGTCACACACCCCGCTGTCGAGCCGAACGTCCACCTTCAGATCCTGGACCTGAGCGCACAGAGCCTCGCCTGCGGGGAGAGACCACAGCTGAGCGACGGGTCGTCATGGCGACCGTGTTTAAGGGATAAACAACCAATCAGCATCCACTCACCTCCCGTCTCATCGGTCGCTTCCTGCTCACCGAGGCGACGCAGCGCCTCCTCCAGGACGCTCAACGCTCTGCACTCCCCAACTGACCTCAGACCAGCCAGCAGGTCCCGGATCGTCCCGCCAGAGACCTGCAGGGCGACAACTTCCTGTCAGCTCAGGGGTCAGAGGTCACACAGGATGTGTGTGTGTGTGTGTGTGTGTGTGTGTACCTCGTAGCTGTCCAGCAGGGTCTTGGCGGGGGAGGGGCTCAGTCTGAAGGCCGTGTTAAGGATCCCGAGACCCAGACTGTGAGCCAGGTTCTCCCAGCATCCTTCACTCTCCAGAGCGCGACACACCTGCTGCTTCACCTCCACGTCCAGGCTCGCCAGGTCGCCTGCACACACGCACGCACACACACACACACACACATTACATCTATTTCAGTTTTTTAACACAATATTTTAAAAATGAATCTAAATGATTGTGTAAAATTTGATTAAAGTACACATTCTTTACTCAAATAGAAACAGGTACTTTATTTATTATTATTAATATTTACAAAAAGTAAAAAGGACTCTCTCCCAACAAATGTCGATGTTATTTGACTAAAAAAAATAGCTTGAACTGATTAGAATTTATTTTAAATTTCCCCCAAATACACAAACACTGTGGCACAGAACAGAGAATCAGAGACACTTTAACTCACCTTGAGGAGGCGTGAGAGCTCTGTGTGGAGGTGATGGTTCATACACTTTACCATTCAGAAGCTCCAACACCTACACACACACACACACACACACACAGACACAGGCACACACACAGGCACACACA